CACCTGGAATTCGGATGGTAGCGCACATAGGGCCGGAAATGCTTCAGCTCCATCACCTAGCCACGAACTAAAGCGATACACAGCACGAACAGTTTGCGTGCCATGTTTGTTTGTCCACACGGTACACGGGATGTTGCTTCATACAAAGCCGTTGATGCAGTACATGACTGCTGGGATTCACCAAGAATACATGGACTGCAGAGACTACAGAGGACAAAGATGAGTGTTGGCAGCTTCTCACAAGTTATCAGGCAGCCTTCCAGTGGAAACGGCCGCCACCGCAACTGGATGTACCACTCCATCGGATCCTGCTTGCAGGTCTTGCCGCTGGGGCAGGTCATGTTCCTTCACCCGCATTAATATGATATTTTTTACTGCGACTATGATGAGTCGACTGCTGTAGCACAAGGATCATTTTTGTTGTTAGCACATCTCTTCCAGATTTTCTTATTTCTCTGTCTCTGGTGGCGGGTCAAGCCTTGGAAGAGCACAGCAGCTCGGCATCCAGCAGCTTGACTTTGCCAGCCTCCGGGGCTTCCAGCTGGAGCAGCCCAAAAATCTGGAACAACAGTCTGCAGCCAAGAGGCTTTTTTTAGCCTTCGCCTTCTTTTTCTTCTTGACGCGTCTGTTTTGTTTTGCTCTGCTTTCTCCTGCAGCCCAAATGAAGCTTTGGCGCATGTCTGGCTAAAGCGTTGAAACGGAAAAGGAAGTTTTGTAATGAACCAGTGCATGGTTCATATCTGTGACAGGCTGTCCAAAAAAAACTCGCCAGGCCTAGCACTTGCTACATATGTTTGACAATGTTTGGCCTGTTGCTTCGAATATAGAGGAACTATCTCAAGGTCCTGCTGCAAGCTGCTGATGTTTATACGTCACTGCAAACTTACTAGATGTGCAGCACCGTGGAATCTGCCCTGCTTCTTCTGCCAGAGCATGCGCAATGTTCGAGTCCTTGCTTTCGTTGGCATCATCATCCTCCTCACCTTGGCCCTCTGACTGGCTCCTTCTCGTGGCATCCTCCCCTGAGGCCTGCCTGTCTTGGGGAGCCTTCTCATGCTGATCGCCATCCTCTTGGTCACGATCTTCGCCCTCTGGCCGCTCTTCGGCCCCGTCCTCTTCACCTTGCCGAGGGCTAGATTGCTCGTCGGCAGTCTCTTTTTCCTCTCCACGGCTTCTTTCTGGTTCTTCCTCATTCTCCTCTGATGAAGAGGGCTTGGCAACTTGATTTAAGTCAAACTGCATCCGACCCGTGGGGGGTCCCGTAGCGGCAAACTTAAAGAAAGGTGCCCCTGACAGCAGCATGCAGTGGAGTCCTGTGCATCATCGACAGGCGACCTTTCCTCTGCACCCTCGTCCTGCAGGATTGAGGCAGCCAGGAGATCCACACCACACATCAAGGAATGTTGGCAATCACTCCTGCGACAGCTCCTGCTCAGAGCCTTCGCTTGTGGACGCTTCCTCTATCTTGAGAGGTGGGACAACCTCAGAAGTCTCAACAAGCAAAGGCTCAGCGACATCCAGCGACCATGCCATCTGAAACAATAGGCTTGTTTGGTGGCAGCAGCTTGCGTCCACCCTTGGCGCAAGACCTCTGGCAGCATCAGATGCAGTGGTGTCGATGGCTGTGACCAAGGGGAGCCATGCTCGTTGCTTCGCACCTCGCAGCAAAACACTCATGACTCATGATCGTTCCGACAAGCATCGGCGGAGCAGCACATGCGCCAGCTTCTCAACCAACGGACTGTTGACACAGCAGCTGTGAAATCCAGCAGCTAATGCTGGCGTATTATGCACCGGGAAAGAAGGGCAGTTGCAAGCCTGCCAGGGTACAATCTGGCGACGCTACATCTGAGTTCTCCGCCTGCATCGCAAAGATGTAGCGGTGGAAGCCTTGTAGTGCATTAAAGAACTTCTACTCTAGGTATCCGCATAACATTAGTCCTCCATCGCGGGGCTAGTACTTCCAGTATGGGAATGGGGCCTGGTGCTTGATATGCTTTAGGAGCGCCTCAAAACGCACCCAGCTTGTGTGGCTGATGCCAGTTTAGGGGGGGGGGGCCGTGGTTCATGCGTTTTGAACGCGCCTTAGAACGCACCCAGTTCGTGGCTGATGCTAGTTACGTATGGGGGTGGTGCCCTGCGCTCGATGCGTTCTAAGCGCACCTCAAAACACACTCACTTTGAAGCTGCTGCCAGTCAAATATGGGGCATGGGGCCCTGTGCTTAATGCGTTTTGAACGCGCCTTCAAACGCACCCAGTTTGTCGCTGAGGCTGGTTAAGTTTGCGGCATGGGGCTCCGTGCTTCATGTGTTTTAGGAGCGCCGTAAGAGGCACTCAGGATAAGAACATGGAAGTCCGCGAGGAATGTCAGGCATTATTCACTTCACGTTATAAGAAAACCCCCTAATAAGAACATAATGAACTAGGGGGTTCTGATAAGTCCCTAATGTGGAAGTGTCCCTAATAAGGCCTTTATTAGGAACAGTCCGTAATAAAGCCCTAATTCGGATAAAAGGAACTCCTGTAATGAATCAATGATTTCCTAGGTGTTCATTCATGTTCTAACGGTTCTTTTTACTTAATTCATTACTTTTTTTCTGCTTAAAAAAACTCGATAATGAATTTAAGCTGATTACTCTTTAACTACTTAATTCTTTGGTTCAATGATTGCTGAATATTTGCGAATTTGATTAGTGGTTTCATTCTACTAGTTCATTTAATTATGAATACATTTACAAAATTGTTATTCGATTTTTGTAAAGGAATTTAAAGGCAGCCCTACCGAAGTCTTTCAATAAATATCCTCCCCTATAGTAAAAAAATTCTGAGCCCCCGGAGTATTTATCATTAGGTGGGGGGGGACGTCGTTTACTATTAGGGGGAAGCGATTATGCGTGTTGAGGACGTCGCAAAACGCATGTTCAGCCAAAAAATTGCTTTCCTTGGGTCACGAGGTCCACTTATGGGTTGTCACAAGGGTTATGAGGTCAGAATATGGGGCTCATCTGGATTGCGTAGATTATGCAGCCCTAGAAGCTTTTTTCCTAAAGATTAGTCAGTAAGAATATGGAATTTCGTGAGGAATGTCAAGCATTGTCAAGCATTATGCGCCTGAGGGCTTGGCAAAGCGCATTTTCAGTCCAAACGTGGGCTTTCGTTGGGATTAAGAAGTTCTTGCTGTTGAGCCCGACTAGCAAGAATGCAATTCCTGATCCAGAGACTTGCCGAGACCTAGTTCCCTTGACCTTGCCAAGCGGCGCATGAGAGGCAAAGACGTCACGTCGTAGGTGAACGTCGCATTGTGACTTCTGCCCGCCTGAAGCTTGCCTTAGCGTTAGCGAATGGAATCCTGTGCAGCTGCGCATGGCTACAAGCGGTTGTTGCTCGGCCCGCAGTAGACCATCGAACGTCCAGGGCTGGCGCCAATATCAGTTTCGTCTGTAGCTTCCTGGCCAAAGTGCAGTGGAGTCAGTGGAGCATTCAGCATCCGCAGGCGCTGCTCGCATGTGCTCTCCTGCATGGGGACGAGTGGCAGCTCGTGCCAAGGCAGGTCGCCTGGATCTTTGCCGGGTGGAACCTGCAGCAATGCCATCGGCGGAGGCTGAAATGATTGATGATGGTAGGTAAAGTGGTCACCTCCTTGTACCTGATCTGGAAGCTGCTGATGAAACCTAAGCCAGAGAAACGTTTCCACGCCCTTGTGGCGAAGTAGCTGCAGCAAACGCGTGTGGTTCATGTGACTCCGAAGTTGCAGCTCAACATTTTCAAGGCAGGTAGCTGAAGGAGGGAGCCCGCGCATCCAATCGCCAGGACAGGCGGGCAACATGCCGAATCTCGTGCACGACCCACTCATCCTTTCTCCGCGACAAGTAGTACGAGTACCACAAGTCTCCACCCGCATCAAGACTGAACAGCCAACACGCTCAATCAGCGCGCGCCTCGCGCCTCTGTTCGGCATCCTGGTCCTGTCTGGGCGCGTCGCAGACGATTGCACGAGGTGACAGCTAGCAGGCTGGCAGGATGCCTGCAGAGTTTCCACGTGGCCCCGGTGGCTGCCTCAGCTGACCACTTTTCAGTTGGTGTACGAAACTCTTCTCGTGGTCAGATCGAGGTGGCCACTCGAGCTGCAGTTGACCACAACATGGCGTACCTTCCGGCTTCCCCCAACACGTACAGATGTCTTGCTACACCCAGCAAGCCACGCGGAGCTGAGCTGGCGCACGGACACTGGAGCGCAGGGTGGAGCAACTTGAATGCAAAGTGCGCGAGATGCTGCAGACCTCTGGCTTTTCAAGCAGCTTGCAATTCGCTTGTTCAAGGACTCTGCATGAACAGGCTTCGCAAAGCTTTGCCCTTGTGCTCAGATGATTCTGCTGGGAATGGAAGCGTGTACTGAACAACTGGGCTCTTCACACAGAGCCCTCCACACTGGAGGAGACCCAGCGCAGCTGGATGAGACCCGATCCGCTGGACTCAACGAAAAGCAGATAATGGCAAGACATCACAAGACTACTTTGTTAGCAGCAGTCCCCTCTTCACACAGTTTTGGGCCTCCTCTGCAATGTCAAGTCCAGAGACGAGCACGGCCCAGTCATCAGAAACGAGAACACCCAAAGGGTCCTACCAGCTTCGCGAAAACAGTAGGGGAAAGACTGACTTTTGCATGTGCACCCCATGATCATCCAAGAGCAAAATCTGTAAAGGTCCTGGGCTGGATCGAGGAACTCGTCAGCTTCCAGACCTCCTTGCAGCTGGACCCCAACTTGCAAATGGCAGCTCTTGCCTGCGCTGGTTGACATTGTAGCTGCCTACATGGACTCATGGGCCATGGGCCAGACGAGCCAGTTTGCAAGAGCTCCTGGTGGGATGTCCTCCCGATCGTCAGCATCTGGCTGGCCCTGCATAGCTATGCAACAAGCATAGTGCTGAACTCAGTGCGGGCACTTTGTCTTTGATGGTGCGGAAGGCATCAATAAAGTTGAGACCCCTGCTTGGCTCGTCAATCCTCAGCTCGACACAAAGCATACCACAAAAAAGATAGGGAGGGAGCGCCGCTGCATGATGCTGACTTGGCCAAGGTTCTACGGATCGACGCGCGTTGAGAGCGATGTCTGTTTGGTTGACGCCGCCTGAGCAAAAATGCCAGACGACAAATTGGCAAAGCATGAACTTGGCAGCTTCTTAACAAGCGTCACGCTTGTTGTGGTCCAGCCCTGATTGAGGGAGACTTGGTGAGGAGATGCTCAGAGTCTTGCTTGACGAACTCGTACGCCTCCGCCTCCCTCCATTCAGACCACCTCAAAGACTCAGACATCTTGGTCAATTTTGCGATTGTGCCTCTAAACTTTTGCTAGTCCAGCATGGAAAGTGCCAGTGAATCCCAAAGGCCTCAATGAGGTGGGCTCCTGAGACGCTTCACACTACGACTCACAACAAGATGCTGCTGCATGATGAGACATTTGTATGCTGGTGCAACTGCCACCAAAGTTCATCGCGGCGAACTGGAGCGGAGTCAACACAGCGAAACTGAACCCGGAAAGGTAGAGGAAAGTCATCCTCAACTGAAACATCGCTCACATGGTACAGGCGCTTGTAGTGAGGATGCACCCGGAAAGCATGATGGACCGCCGGGACCAGTCTAGGTTGGCTGACGAGGCACAGGAGGCGTGCCGGGTGTGTAAGGCCCTTTGATCCAATCACCACTCTCATCCACGCCACAGAAGTTCGCCTCCAGACCATACACCCACGATGTTGCTTGCGAAATCATAAAACCGCTGAACCTTGGACCCAGAATCGTCTTGAACATGTAGAGTAAGCTACTGGCAGGATGTCGAAATGGCCACTGCACCATCACTGCCCCCATTCCTCCTGACTGATGAATGACCGGTGGTTGTTTTGTGTTGGAACTTGATCCACAGCTGCCAGACCCGGAAAAAAGGGCATGGTCTCCTTGGATCAATGCCTGGTTGGAGGGCATGAACTCCGCACTGGGCAGTGCCAATGGTGCAGTCAGCATCGGAACCTGCAATGTGCGGTGAAGGCGCGGCCAAGACTACAAAGGCTACTAAGGCCAAAAGGATGGACACCACATTACCACATCAAAGGCCAAAGGCTCGGGCCAGCTCTGGTATCAGCACCGGTGCAGCTGACCAAAGCAGCTTCGGACCTGAGAAGTGAGCTGAGACGCTGAGACCACAGGCGAGCCGAGTCTATGAGTGAGCCGAGGCACTGAAGCTTGTTTCGCCAGGCAGGCTCAAGTATCTTGCTCGAACACCTGCAAGATGCACAAGGGTTACACGCAGTCAAGCGCTCAACACACCATCGTGCTCATGCTGGGCGCACTGAAGTAGACCTGCGACCGCTGCACAAGCGCTGTGCTGCGGATATCCACGGTGCACTCAACTGTGTTGCCCTGCACCTAGCGACTGCACAAGGCAAGCAGATGCAATAGGATGTTGGCATCTTGACATGACCCATTGCCTGGTCGCTCTTGACTGTTGTGATAAAGATGAGTGAAGGCTTCTCCCATTCTACACCGCTTCCTGGCATTTTGCCCTTCCTTAGGTTCAGGTATGGTTTTCTGTACGACCGCAATCTGGTGGTCATCCACATGCCATCCCAGCGGCCCATCCTTCAAGCGGGAAAGCGCCTGAAGATGAACAGCACAGACGCGAAATGCGTTTTGCATCGCCGCTGCGTCAACATCTTGAAAGAAGCTGCGGGACCACCAAATCACAACTGAAAAGGCCTGAAGCTGTTCAGCTGCTGCGGCGCCAAGCTCATCTGGTCTCTGCCAAGCCTGCGAAAACTTTGAGTCCTATCTCTTAATCTTTCTCAGAAGATGTTGGGTAGAGACCAAGCCTCAATGCAGTATTCCACTGGAAGCGGCGTGCGCGGATCAAAGGATTTGAAGGCTGGGAAGGCAAAGTGCAGCGCGTGGTCGCGGGTGCGGAAGGTCTGCAACAAGCTCTCAGAATATCAATGACAAAAAGCGGCAGGAAATTGGCCTATTGCCACTAGGCACTAGACTGCAGCCTGCTGGCTTCTGGTCTTGCATGCCCGATGGGGTGACCGATGACTAGGCAGTGTTTCGGGGGGGTGGAATTCATCTTTGACAATCATGCCCAGGCTGGTGTCAGTCCCAGCTGAACTCAGCTCATGTGCGACCAAATGGGGTCACCTGCATGAGGACTAACAATCACCTATGAATACAATTTGGACGTCTTCAGGGCTGTCTGTCACTATCTGAATTGCAAATGTGTGTGATTGTTGCTGGAGGCTTGCCACCATCACTGCGCGTAGACATGCTGGACATGCAGAGCTGCACCCCGCAACATGACGTCTATAAATATCGTGATTTTCCCATCACTCTAGAAAGGTTGCCGAGAATGGCAGCAATGCATTTGAAGAAGCAATCTACAAAAGAATAATCGCCAATCCACGATGGTTCGGGGTTGTTTAAACTTACCTGCGTGGATTCGCAGCTTCCGAAACCAGGTGGGATTGCAAACGACCCTCGTGCTGACGATTGACGCGTGCCCAAGACAAGCCTAAGGCGAGCTGGATACAGAGGCAGAATTCACATGGCCGCTCCTTCATAGGCATGCATAAGCATCTCCTATAAGCTCTAGACAAGAAACATATTCTGAGTTCGACCTGAGCTTCCAACCTCCAGGATGCCACTCTCTCTGGGCGCAAGAACGTTGCAGCCGAACCGTGCAAAGTCCGGCGGTTCTAGGTCGCGCGCCTTGAAATGCCATGGTGTTGAATCTCCACTTGCATAAACTTGGATCCGAGCTGGAGAATGGCTGTGGGCTCTTCAGCCCTGGCCTTCAGGCGCAGCGGTTCCGACGTGGGACTCCACTCGCTCCTTGGATAGAGATGTGCGCACTGAAGCAATAGCAGGCACAAGCTTTGCGAAATCGGAAAAAATGTAAACTGGCACAGACTCCAGTTGTCAACGGAGCCAGCTCGAACGCTCACAATATATTCTTCGCCATACTGCAAATAGTCTGACAAGAAGGCGCAGTACTGCTTCTGCACCTGGTCGTAACAGGCCAGGCGAATCTGTCGGAGTGGCATGCTATCGCACGCTGCTATCCTAACTAGCTTGTCTAAGCCTGCCCCTTCACCGATTCCTGCATGATCACAAAGAAGTAGGATGTAATGACCCTGTCGGCATCATCACAGCCTGGCCTCTTCTGCAGAAACACAGAAGAAAGGCTGGGCTTCTTTCCACACGGCTTGTTCGCCTAATCAGATTCGCAGATTCGGGCACGCTGGCTACACCGGGCTTGCCGTGCACGAACTATTTTACCTGATGATCTTGTACTGCACGCTTCCCAACGGACTAAGAGAGATGCGCTCGCTCCACATGTTGCACTGAGTCCAACCACAGAAAACAACGTTGCCTGCCGGAAGTCGCGATGTTCGCGCAATCCGTATCTGGAACCTGCAGATGACCTCGTGCATTGGAAGTACCAGTACCCTGAAATGTGGAAAGAAACCTGGTTGCGCTGCAATCTTTGATTGCTCGGATGTTTTCTGGACAAGGATGGGATGCTTCCAGGGTCCTCTACCAGCTCTTTGACGAGAATGGCCAAGCGGCACAATAGGGATCAACCTTCACGTCATCCTGCAGCTGCCACGTCGCGAGTAGCGTAATTCCGCCGATACGACGCTTGGCGGCCTTGTTTGACCACAGTAGCTCATCAGCCAAACATATCTCTCACGAGCCAAGATGAGCCGAAACGCAGGTTGACCTGCGCTAATGAGATCAAGGTCATCCTCTGTCCACTCCTGCCAGCGAGATCAACATGGATGTAACCCGACCCTTGTCGAGTGCTGTTCCAATGTGCCAATGCCAGGCTCTGAACCAAACTCCTAGTCATGCAGTTTTCAGCCGCGCAAATCAAACGCATCATTGGGTACGTAGAATGCACTTACGGTCCCCGAAACAGTATGTTCTTGTCATCCCGGAAACACGTGTCTGGCCTTATGCACCCAGCCAGGTGCTGCACGCATAGCTTCAGTGCTATCACTGGTCACCTAAGCTGTGCTAAAATTTCAAGGGTTCAGTGAAGCAAGTCGTGCGCGACCTGCAGAAAGGCCAAGAATATCGCGATCATACCATATGATACCTGCCGCCTGGTTTGAGCTTACATGCACTCATTTTTTAGTTGAGCGGCGGCCACTGTTGGGCGTTGAACCAGGTGCCCGAGCTCTGCGGATCGCTTTCGAGGCACTGCAGCTGAGCTGCCTAGGATTTCGCAGAAAATCTCAATGCAGCATCACGCTTTAAAATGTAAACTCCTAACTCGTGTTCTTTGCACTGTTTATGCATCCTGTCCTCAGTAGCTTCCGGCCCTGTCTGTGCTGTGTTTGCCTGGCTAAAGTTCCCCACTGCCGAAAGGCAGCACATCGTCGGCGGTCCCACTGGGGTTACCATCTTACTTGCCGCGCACAACTAAGAATGCATGGTAGGAATACATGACTCGGGGAGCACTTCGATCACAACGATGGGCTGAAGTCAAAAACAGAGTTTGAGCTGAGACATTGACGCTCGTTGAAGGAGCTGCCCTTGGCCGCCTCCACAAGCGCCATTGTTGGCAACGGATTTCAACTTTCAGCACTCAGGGCCCCAGCGGCTACAAACATTCCAGCAGCCATGACCTTCAGGCTTGTGAGTGTTCAAGTCCGTAACTTGACAATTGCCACAAGCAGGACGAACTGCTGCCAAGTAAGTAGGGCGACATGCTGAGGCACTGACCCAGGGTCCACGCCTCAAGAGGTAAGCTGCACCAAGAAGGGGAGACATGCAAGGGCGGGACAGGGGCACAGGGAGACAAGGGGGAGGGGCGAAGAAGAGGGGGAGCGACAAGCGGGAAATGAGGGAAGGGCGAGGCGAAATGAGGGGACATGGAAGGGGAAGGGGAGATTCGAGGGAGAGAGAAAGAAAGAGAGAGAGAGAGAGATGGAGAGCGGGAGCAAGAGAGAGAGACAGATAGAGAGACAGAAAGAGAGAAACAAAGAAAGACAGAAAGAAAGACAGAAAGAAAGACAGAAAGAAAGACAGCAAGGAAGAAAGAAAGAAAGAGGAAGAAAAATGATAAGAGGGCAGGCTCACAGCTGTCGATTTGGTAGGTTGGTCAAGGTTTAGACATGAAGGGTTCTGGCTTTTCCTTGATAGTCCTTGCACAACGTGCCGACCGATTCCTGTGTTCCTGCTGGCAGCAAAGAAGCTCCTCCGGAGGCTCGGGTCTGTGTACATGCTCGTCGCATATCTGCGACGAAGACCTGCAGAACCCAGATCGCCAGGTAAATGTCAGCGTTCAATCTTTCTGAAGCCGCAGCCTGGAATCGCCAAGGTTGCTTGCCTTAGTTTGATATCGGATTTGTTCAGGAATTCGCATGATGCAATGTAGAGTGCACCTGCAGTCTGCCCTTCTAGTGCTGCCCTTGTTGCACCGCGTTTCCTGCGATTCCGAGCTGATGAAGCGGCGTATGGATTCCCATACGGGCCATGTGAGTTCCTAAGGTGTCTTCTGATCCCACAATAACAGCTTCTCCCCAGCAGCTGCACATCATGCGCACATCTGTTACCCCTTATTCCACGCAGAAACCGCAATGCCTAGCAAGCCAACTGGGAACATCAGAAGCCAAACAAAGTAGCTGGCTACCGTGTCAAGGCGGTGCATCGCTGGAAGGGATTTGCTCGAATGTTGCTTGTGGATACAGATGTGAATAACGCCATGTGACTCCGGGCGCTGCCGCCGCGCCGACTGTGATCTGGTACCACGACTAGAACCCACCGACCTCAGCTGACTATCTCATGCCTAACTCTAATGGCATCTTCAATTACGGACAAGACCTGGGTCGTTTCCTGTGATGCCAGCCAAGGAGCGAAGAGTTCTGCATCACAGGTCTTCGGCCAGGGCGGCCTGCGGACCTCTCCGCGCTGGGAGGTCGGGGCGGCCCTGGTGGACCAGGCGGCCGAGGTGGCATCACCAGTGGCTCCAGCTTCTGGCTCCGCCACTGGGCGACCGGCCTCAGATGCCATGGCATGGCATATCATGGCATAGCCTCTGCCGAAAAGGTGCATCCGAGTCACACGACAGGGGGTGGCTCGATCAAATAGCGGCCAGGCGAGCGTGACCCGCGCGAACTCCCACGACCTTGGACCGTCTACCACACTCCTTGCAGAATCACATGCTCCACTGCTATAGGACTTGCCACGCAACAACCAGCTACCAGTGTTTTGACTGAAGCCTTTCACCCGGCCCTTGCACGAACAAAGCATCCAGACTCTCTCTCAATGCGGCTGATGCAGCAGACCGGTACCGTGAATGTGTTTTGTGCCAATGGATTTCAGAAGCATACAGCGGACTAATATATCAAGCAGGCGGATTCGGTAGCCAAAGTACAGTGACAAGCCCAGAAATGTCAAAGAGCAGCACAGGTTGGAGGGGTAGGGCAGAGCTCTGGAGCCATGTCAAGCTACTCCAACACGCTGCTAAGTCTATGGAAGCCTCCCCCTACAGGGTCTCATC